CATATGCAGCAAAGGTAACCACTCACCTTCCTCTACTTCCATCGTAAATTAAATTTTTTTATCAATATAACCTATAAACTTCAGAAAATCTTCCAATTTTTCTCTTCAATTTGACCAAAGTGCGAAGTATTCATCCAGGTATTGCATGAGCACTGCCTGTTGTAGAGGTGACATCTTGAAGTTCTTTTCTAAATTGTTCATGTATATGTTTGCCAAAAGAGGTAAGAGCGGCGATTCCATGGGAAGTCCAAATATTTGTTCACAGATGATCCCGTAGAATGTGAAATAGACTGTCCTTATTGTCAAGTTGATTCGTCGTGTTGACGAATTCCTCTTGAAATTTTCTGATTCCTCTTGAAATTTTCTGATTCCTCTACATTCTCCTCTAGGTCCAGGATATTCAGCAGAGCTGTTCGCGCAGTTTCTCCGGAGATGTTTGTACGCATGGATCCTACATCAAAACTTACAAAGAATACAATTGTAATTCAATCATGTCATCTGAGCGTACGTTATGGTATCACTCCAAATTACTGTGACATTAAGAGATCCTACCATTCGGATAAAGTTACTGAGTTTATCCACCAGGTCTTATGATACGAAGAGGAATAAGCTATTTACGCTTATGTATATTAAGTCAAAGTTCCGGCGTGATCTGGCCAGGATCCCGACTCCTGAAGACTGGAAAAAACTCCGGAGCATGACAGACAGGAAATCACGTAGGTTGTCTGACTTAATAAAAAAAGACACATGATAAATTGTGTAAGTTTGGGATTATAAGACAGCTTAATTCAAAGCCAATGCTCGTGTAGTCTAAGCGTATTAACGATATTATTAACCCAACTATTCTTAGAAGTTATTTGACCTTGTTTTCGCAACCTGGTCATATTGGTAGGAAGACTTAGAGGACGCACCTAGTTCGGAGTCCATTGTATGCAGGATAATTTCCAAAGTCGGACCGTGGACGTGTTACATTCCTAGACGTTTCGCCGGCATCGTAGTCAGCCTCGTGAGTGAGTCTCGCCATTCTTTGCACCATAGTACAGCTCGTCAAAGAGACAAGACTTGCAAAAACAAGGTCAAACAACTTCTATACAACGAAAGGAGACTTCGACGACACAAAAGGTCACACTATCTTGGTATTCATTCCAACTATTATTATTTGGTGGTTCTACATGGTAATCTCATCTCTAGTTTCTACTGCTAATCGGTCAGTAAAGTTAATAGCCTCTACTAAAATCTCTTTAGTGAAACTCATACTATTTTTGCATAGCATAATTAAGGCCTCTAGATAGAACTTCCTCAGTATTACTGTCCAATGATGTTTTGAGTAGGTTAGGCACTTTTATTTTCTCCTAGGGATAAATTCCGACTATTATTTAAATGTCTAATTCTAATTCCTAAGACCGCCTAAGTTAAAGCCAATGCACCCAGTTGAAGTGGCTTCCAAGGCGACAAGACCTACTCATCAGCACGACGATCGGAAGAAAGTTGTGAATTCATCATCATTTCATCTTAATCCCGAAACCACCACGATCTTAAGAAAAGGACTCAACATTTCACTTCAAAAACAATAAGGACGGAGAAGGTTTCACAGAAATTGATACGCCTAACTTCCTGCAAACGAACTCAAAAACTACGGTCAATACTAAGGAAATTAAATATTCTGGTTGCCATGAGGGAAAAAATAACTCTATTCACAAGTCTAACCATGCAACATGAGGGTGGACGAATTGGATTGTTCAGGAATTTACTGCATAACAAGCAGCGCATGGGAATAGAAATATATTGGAGCAACAGGGAGAAAATCAGCATATGAATCAAGGAATATCATAGGATCTACAGGAAAATAGATACCGAAAAATCAGAATTAGCGGAACACGTACAGACTGGACGCGAGATCAAGTGGAAGGCAATATAAAGAAGGACCTCATACGGTGAAAACACAAGGAAGTGGAAGATTAGGGAGGCCATTGACGTACTTGGGGAAAAAATTTGATGAACAGGAGAT